CAGCCTCGGCCCGACAGCGACAGAACACGAACGATACGAGTATTTGACGACTGCTTGACGACGACGGCACTCAACGACACTCGCCGCGAGAGCTGTCCGGAGTCCCGAAAGAGCGCCTCCAGAGAACCTTCCGTGTCCCGCCGTTTATCGACCGAACGTCATCGCGGCGCTGCGCGACGCGTCATGACACTGGCGCCGCCAGACGGCCGCGCGGTGAACTCCAAATGCCAGCACCGTCGTTACGTTTGAATTCTTCGCGCGAATTCGCGCGCTCTTCACATGTGCGCGCACTGATTTCGCACGTAATTGCAGAAGCGAAAGTAAGCGGAAGGCGTGATTAGAGAAACAGGGAGCACCGGAATAACTGGAAAATTTAAGAGTGTATTAATATACATTCACGCTCTTCTCTCTTTCATGCCTGTTTTTTTTTGTCAATGTTGTTTAATTTTAATCTCGGCTTAACTAACTCTTCATCTTTTTCTAGTTCTAAAAATTAGAAAATAATAAAGAGTAAGTTTAATTGAGATTAAAGTTAATTTGCATTAGTAGAAACGTGTATCAGTGATCGCTTCAGATTGCGAGAACGCTTCCCCGTTTATGTAATAATTTTAATTAATGTAAATGTCGATGTAGGTGTCGAAATTTTTTATGGAATTTACTTTCTCTAGGTTACATTGAATATTCATATATTACCTTGTAATTAGGGAAAAAAAAATATGATTTATAATATTATGTATAATGCAATGCTAATATATCTTGTGTGTAAATTATGCATATTTTCTTTGTAACTTTTGAACAAATAATTATATAAAAATTAAAATATAAGAGAAATAAATAATAAATTTAGATTTTTTTTTAATATGTGTGTTTTGAAATAAAAATGCGAAATGTATTCTATATGACAATGTCTGTATAATCTTATGAGTAATTTAGTAGAAGTAAATATCATATGAAAGTAACACATAACACATTGTTATAATTTTACAACAATTCTCAACAATATAAGTGTAATATAACACATGTGAAATTATAACATTGATATTATATCACTTTTAGTTGGTGTTTATTGGGATAAAAATGATAAAAATGAAAGTCATTTTAACATTTTATTCAAAATTGTATTTTATCTAAAATAAAAAGTTACAATTAAATAAAAATTAATAATTTCAATAATTTCTCTAATATTATTTATTTCTACCGTTATTATCTTGCATATACAAATAATAAATATCATTAAATCTGAAGTCCGTCGCTAATCAAATTTTGTAGCAAAATCTTGCCACAATTTCGATAAATTTTAATGTTTTTATCCTTGTTCACTTTATATAAAAATATTTAATTTAAATCGGTAGTTGTTCAAAAATTTCCTTAAGTGATATTCCAGTACACTTAATATTAATGTATAATATCTTTATTTGGATTTAGTGCTTATAATGCACAAGATTTATTTATTTAGCAAGTAATTTTTTGATAAATATATCGTTTGATGTATTTACAATCAGTAAAATATCTATTAACCAATTGGATAATACAGAGTGTATAATTATATGTTTATATATTTCAGCTCTACATCATGGTTAAATTTAAGTGGCTTCAAAACAGCACATTATTGCAAAGAATATTTCTCCTAAGCATTAGCAGCGTACTTACATATGAAATCTTAATGGGCTACATCGATTACAACAATAAGGTTATACATTTGAACACCATTTGACATTTACTAAACTTGTATAATTTAGAAAAAATAATAATTAATTTTAATCATATGCAATAAATTAAGCTTATTAAATTACTTAGAATTTTTTTATAAACAAATTAACTTTTTTTTTAACTCTAATCGATATTTCTAAATTTTTTCAACTTCAAAATTTTTAGCTTTAAAATTTTTTTAACTGGTAATGGTGTTCGCAGGTCTAATGTACTTTAAATTAATGTATCGTTGTAAGTTGTTCACATTTCAACGAATATATTCATTAATCTGAATAAATATCAGCTGTTTTGCCTGTCAGAAAACGAAGCCTGCTCAATGATCAGTCACGAGCGTCGTGTATCATTAATTAATTATGTCGGCTGCATTCATTATGAAGCATGTAGTGATCGCGCAAGATAGTTCATATAAAACGTTTCGCTTAATGTGCATTAGACAGATGAGATTTATACGGTGGAGCATGTAATTAATTATCAAACTCAGCAAAACTTCCGTAATTTTATCCTGTGAGTTTGTTGTCCATCTCTTGTCCGGATACTTCCGCGTACAACACATTAATTCATAATAAAATTTTTCATATTGATCTTGTTTCATATCTATGCTTAATGATACCATCCAAGGAGAACAACAAGTCAAAATAGTGTTAAAGTGAATCTTGAATGATTAAAAAATAACTTTTAATAATTAAAGTCGTTTTTATATCGTGATGACTTGTGTTTTGCTTGAGTATATATGTAAGTTCACTTTCCTTACGATTTCATATAAAATTTCATACAAGTAAAATTTATAGACTCAGGTTGTAGCAAGAAATTATTTTTAACCTTATTAAATGGCTATCTTATTAACCCGTTATGCATATATTATTTATTTTAGACAATTTTTAATTAACAAGCTATATACTTTTATTTAATCTTAAACGTTGTGAGAAAGAACATATTTAATATTTAATTACAAATGTAGTCGAACAGTGTACAGTTGTAACTCATTGCTGGAAATATTTCGAACTTCCTATTGGATGTCATTTCATACTCGGGTGAGCTATCTTATTTAATTAATCATTTATTTAGCCGACACATCCATTGTTAACGATCTTTATCAGTTCCAAGCATCGTTAGCGTGACCTTCGGCATAACAAACGTTAGTTCATAGTGCGATCTGCTGACCCTAATTCATTTAGTAAAAGGACGCTGATTTTTATTTCTCCTTGTTCGACAAAAGTACTGTCGGTCGAAAAGCAGGCCACTTGCCACGCAACGTCGATTCCGCGATTCAAATGCAGGAAACTTTAATTACTCCGGTGAAACGAACTTCGCTTTCTTGCGATACTCTGTCCTTGCATATAACTTTTCTCTTTCTCTTTTTCTTCGAAGGTGGTTGAATATATGGAGTCGATATCGTACCAACAAGCCCGGGAATCTAGTAAGATGAAAGGTAGTCGAGGAGCCTTTCCTTTGGATGAAGCCAAGTCATTCGCGTGGGATCAACGCACAATTAACACAAAGAATGAGTAGATCTCCATAATTCTGCAATGAAACGTACTTGAATTAAAAAACATTAGAATAAAACGGCTGCATTAAAGTATTCTTAAATCAATATCGATATATTTTTTTCATTTATGACATGCTTTTGACAAAAGTATTTTATATTAAGAATATTTTTGAAATGTCTTAAGAAAAATTTATATTTATAATTTTGAATAAAACATTTCTGGAAGTTTTTAGGATGTTTCTGTTTTCTGGCGTGTTATCTGTATATCACAATGTCAATCGTATGTGTATGAGATTATACTATAATAGTATGTAGTTAATATATGTTCAGAGGTCGTCTAGTTAAAGAGTCTGGTACAACATCCAGTCTTCTCGCAATCCTTCAAGCATTTAAATAGATATCGTGAGCGTAAGGCCAGAAAGAATATAGTATTTCCTGCATAGGACGCAACAAAGGAACAAAGATACCGATGAGCGGTATAATTTAACGTAAGACTTACATGCAACGTGATAAAATCTCGAGAAAAGTTACAGCTGAGATCAATCTTTCACCCAGATCTGTCGAACTTACCACGCGAGAAAGAATTCTTAGGAAAACAATGGATCATTTTGACCAGCAAACCAAAGAAAATATAAGTTATAAGCTGTTAATAATAAATGATACACACATTCTTGTGTATATTTTATTATTGATACAATAATAAAAAATTTAAAAATTTTCCTAACTCCACGAATATTTCACTTCAGCAAAAGAATCAGTAATATATGTATTTATGTCTTCACAGTCTAGTCTATGTATTATTATCATATTTATCTCATCTGAATACGTCATGAGCACGTTTTCATTACGTCGCAGGTAGAATGACTTGTGATAATGCAAATTGTCGTACAGTTGTCTGTGTATTTTACGAGAAGACATTTTGATAAGCGAAGTCAGAAATCATTGCCAAAAGTTAAAGAAAAATTAAGTTTTAACACTTACAAGCAGGGATGATAAGAAATACGTTACTCGTAATACTGTTATTGTTTTATTGTTTTTTTTTTTATAATAAAGATTTAGTAATGACGTTACAATTTCTCGTAACGATAACAATAGTACCTTTAGTTGGAACAATCATTTTTGAAAGTAATTTGTTATCATCACTTGTTTCTCATTAAAAAAAAATAACTTATGTAAGGAGCAAAGAAATGAGTTTTTTTCAATGAGTAATGTAACAAGTAACCGTGTTTCCTGATGATTAGGTAATTAAATCATCAGGCACGTAAATGTATTTAATTAAGTTGTCGATTTCCATCGACAAATATTAGAATTGTAAGCACGGTACTGTACATGATAAATTAACTGATTGAGTTTACTTAAGTGATAAAATTGTTTGAGTAATATTAAGCGATGAGCTCGAAAATATGACGAGAGAAAATATTTTTGGAAGTAGAATGATTTCATCAGCTTGCGCGTGAAAGATTACTCCTACAGAATCTATGCTGCATATATGCTGTATAATCACTGTTATCGGAACACTATTCACACAGAAGCTGTTTGAACGCGGCCCCGTTTTGACGCACGCGTAGCTAAAATTGAGAAAATTGTATCGGTTATTTTCTGAATTGTATATTATGCGATCACCGTTCGATATCTTTTGTAAAATAAATATTCTGTGATGTCGAACA